GCAAATCAGACAAAATAGAATCCATTTAAATCTGTTTGTTCGATTTCATGCGCTGTTTACATTTTTGTCGGGAATGTTTCGCGAGTGCCAAGTAGAATATTCGAATCGAGTTCTCTGCAAACGCGAAATTGTGATTGATTTCATCGTGTTTGATATGTACATCAAAAAACAAGCCGTGGTCCCGAAAATCCGTATCGATCCGCGTGATATTTATTAAACGTAACAATTTTCCGCGACATTAGCCACCGGGCCGGCAACCTATGCGTGAACCGAAGGGGCAGGACAGCGTAAATTGCAGCTACACGAAATGACAAGCTCAACATTGGATTTTCAGAGTCATTCATTACCGAATGAATGCGGTGATGCAGTTGCGCGTCGCTGCAGCCCGGTCACGCGCGATTGCTCCTTAAAACGAATCGAATTCTAATTTAAATCCATCCGCCTTGAAATATTGCCGGCATGGAGCGTGGCTGAAAGACGCGGATTTCCATAATCTCGGGCGTTCATAACCGCACTAACGATTCGAACACACGCTGCCCCCGAATAATTTTAGAGGACAATTCAATTTCTAAAATCTGCTCTTCGATAAAAGCTATTCTCTTCGAGAGACGAATAAATTAAAACTGCTGCGTTTCTGTCTCTCATGAATGTCTCTCTCGGATTTATAACGACTCGTGGCTAATAATTTCCTATCCGTAATTAGACCGTGAATTTCCGTGCACCGTGGGAAATTTGGAAGTTTCGGAAATACATATAATATAATATAAATTATATAAGATTCTTTCTTCTTTTTTTTTTAACTTGTCCGTAAAAGCACGAATTTTTATAAACATCTGCAGTTCATCCACAACCTTTTGGTTACTAATATTCACCGCGATCTTTTATCATTTACTCGTTGAAAAGCACGTGCAGGAAAACGACTTTCCTGGTGTTGGAAAATCTCGCGCGATTAAGACGAGCAAACGGGCATCGAACTGCTTATCCGCGATTTACGTATGCGGAAGGCACATGCATACGGACTGAATAGAAAAATAGGCGTGTAACCCGGTGGAAGGCCGTTTGGCTTAGGCGTGACCTCGACCGGCTCGATGGTACGAAAAATTTTGACGGGCCAACGTATCCTCAACGTTCACGGGGTTCTTAACCTGACGAAGGTTGCGGCCGGGCAGTGCCGCTAAAAATTCATCACGCGGGCGTACAATTTTCGAGTCTCTCGCGACACGGTGGCAACAGTGAGGTTTATGCGTTCGACGCGTACAGCGAGGGACAAATTAATGGGTCGCACGCACAGGAAGGTAATCACGTTAATGGGCACGCGCGTAATTGCCGATAAATTAGAGAAACGAAAATCTATCGATTGGCATTGTTAGACTGCGGTTCTTTATGCAGTTTCAAATTTTGATAAAACAGAACGTAAGTGAGAAATTCCTCTCTCTACTAAATGTATCAAATGTACTAATTCAATATCTTACTTTTTATGTAACATTTTTTCAATATTTTATTTATTAATATCTTTATTTTTATATACTTTAATGTTTCACGTATTTTTACATGAATCTGCACTCTTAGAATTTCCTATAAACTCATAAAGATTCATAGTCCAATGATCGTGAACGGAGGATAGATCGCGTACGTCATCTTGAAATCTTTCGTGAAATCAATCTCGAACGATCGGAGATGGTAATTAGAAGACGCGTATGATTAATGGGCTTCACGACGCTTTGTCCACGAGATATCGAGTTGAAAATTGCGCTCCGTGCAACTCGTTGCCGACGTTCGTTATCTTATTGAAAAATCAACTTTCATTACATATTCATACATATTTTTGTTGGCTTAACAATTTGAGAACATACGAGATATTTCCGTAATTGGAATGAAAGTTGAACTTAGCGTTTGAGTTTCTAAGTAACCCATATTCTTTTACGTATAAATTATTTATAAGCAAGGCAATACTGGTGATTTTTGAAAAATTTAATCACGATGGAAGTGCATCGAATTACTTCAATCATGAAAAACGCTACGCGCAATTAAAATTTTATCCTGAATGTAATGTAAATGAAAGGTTTGACTATTCATAGAAACATTTCAGGAAATTCGTATCATCCTGTTCAAACTTACTATACAAACGAGCTGTAGATTCGAGGAGCTCGATCATAACGCGCCAGATTTTACATTATCGAAAGATAATAATGTGGAATTTGGTTTCCATATCGGAACGATATTTCGGAATTGATCCATTTACGAAGTAGAAACGTCGCAACTTTCGCGTTTCGAAATTCCGAGGATTCTGCCGATTACCGGATCGCGAAATATTATTAGCGAAATATTTCCACTGCGATTACACGTAAATCATTTTCATAACCATCGGGTTATAATGTTGGCCGGTATCAAGTGGCAAGATAAATTAATTACCAAGATAAATTGCCATCGATCTAGACAGCCTCAATTAATCCTTTACATTGCCATATCTCATGCGACGCGACATTCGTGTTTTGTACTACTGAATTTCGCGCTCAGCCGAGCAACGCGAGTGCCAAAGAGGATCCTATGGAAATGACGGGCGCCACCGATAAAAATATTCCAACCAATTAAAATAAATCGCTCGGTCGCAAGCGTGACAGTTTCTAATCGGTCCGTTAAATGTCCATTTTGTAAATCACTTCTCTTTTTTCGCTGTTCTCTCTCTCTCTCTCTCTCT